TCCACCCTTTTACTAAATACACCCCATTCCATTTCTATGGGTTTCCTGCTCAGCACTTGGGATTTAGTTCCTCATAATGATGTTAGTTGCACTTGCTTAGTGTTTCTTTTTTATGGATATGCTGTCCTGTCTCCCCTCTTAAATTAGAACAGTAAGCTTTCCTAGCTGCTGTTATCTTTACTCCTGTATCTTTTTTATGTGTCCTGGACACTTTGTGCCCTATTAACATTTTTTAACTCAACAACTTGCATCAATCCCAGTGGTCCCCAACCAGCTCTAAAATCATTTTAGCAAAAGAAATAGCAAGGGGTGGGGCCAACTAGAAAAGTTAGCAGGATTTTTTTTTTTCCAAAGGAACGTAAAAGTTGAAATTCAACTGGATCAACCTTTCCACCATCCCCATCCCCATCCACTCGGGGGTTTTTCCCACAACTCACCACTGTTTGCTGGTGCTGCTGAAACTTAAGACTGACATTCTGAATCCAAAAAAAGCGGAAAGAGCCAATCTTTAGTTCCGCCTGCAGCTTCCGCTGACACCACCTGGTGGCCAACCGTACTACAAGCCACCTACAGAAAAATCCCTGTGAGTTCATAAGACCCTCTCCCAAGGCTCCCATACCCTCTGTTGGTGCTAGAAGACCTTCCAAGAATAGTATTCCACAGCTGGATTTTCTGGGCAACTCTCCAGTCTCCAAAAGAACCTCTCCGGCACACTCATTCTGCCGCACTAACCAGGACCTTAGCCCCGAATGACCCCTCCACCCAGACGAAACCAGATAAACATCTCCACCCTCTACGAAGAGGACAAAAAAAAAAAAAAAAGCAACCCCTCAAATCTTCAGGAACCCGAAGTAGAACGAAAAGGACCCAATAGGACTCAAAGCGGAGGCAATCATGTCAAATGTGCCATCACACACTTTCCAGGGGTCTGTCTTTGCCCCCACCCCGCAGACAGGTGTCCGCGGGAAAGCACTGCGAGTGTCATCGGCCAGCTCAAAAGCAGCTCTCCCGGCTCGGCCAGTCCTCCTGGCCGCGGGCTCCAGGGCAAGGCTGCAGGACCCCTTCGCGTTCAGTTAAGGGCTTGTGGGAGACCACCGCGCAAGGCCCCTTCCTCCACACACCTCTCCAGTTCGGAATCTAGGCATTCCCCGTTCTCCCCGTGACTCGTACCTCACCCCGCAGCTCCGCCCGCACTCCTGTCCACGATCTAACCCCCTCCGCCTCCCGCGCCCGAAGAGTGCGCGCCCCCTCCTCAGTCTCTTCCTCTCCCTCCCCTCCCCCCACTGCTGCGGGGGAAGGCCCTCACCGGCCTAGGAAGAGGGCGCTAAGCGCAGCCAGCAGCAAGACCAACAGCGCAGAGAGAAGCAGAGGCATTTAGGTCCGGGTCCGGCCCGGCCTGGCCCCGGCCCCCGCCATGCCGGGCCCC